AAAGCAAATTATTTTCAATAAAGAAAAGTATATTAAGTGGCCAATAACAGATCAAGCAAGAAACTTTGTATAGTACATGAGGGGTTTAAAGTAATTGGTGGTATTGAAGAAATTATTGGGGCAATAGATGGTACACATTTTATTCTTCAAAATGCTTCACAAAAAGATAAAGAATTTTACTTTACAAGAAAAAAGAGATATGCTTTACATTATCAAAGAATAGTCAATTTTAGAGGTATTTCATCAGTTATGATGTTGATTAACCTGGTAGTATTCATGATGCAAAAGTATATCGTCATTCTTCTTTTTATTTAAATAAATTTTCTCTATTAAAAATAATGATTTTTTAATTAACGATAATGCATACCCTTTGTTCCATTTCTAATAAAACCTTATAGTGCCAAATTTTTTATCACATCATATTATAGTAGAACATTCATTTGACAGATTAAAAAATAGATTTATGGAAGTAAGAGAAATATCTATTATAAAAATTTTAACTGCAATCAATTTAATTGATTGTGCTATTATTTTACAAAATTATTTAGAATTAACTAATGATATATGAAAAAAACAAAATGATGATAACTTTACTAATGATAGTGAATTAAATAATTATAATGATGTTTATGATGAATTAAAAAAAGCTGGAAAAATGAAATGAGAATGGATTATGAGAAAATTATTTACATCATTAGAATAAATAATAAGCAGTTATCAATAAATATAAAGAAAATTTAAGTTTTATCATTATTTCTTATTATTATTATTATTTATTTATTATTAACTATTATTATTACTATTATTATTAACTATTATTACTAATTATTATTACTATTTATTATTGTTTATTACATTACTTTAACTGTAAATCTAATTTTTTATTATTAATTTATATAGTATCTTTGATTGTTTCTGCTCATATTTCCATATTTTCAACTTTCAACTTTTGTAATTGAAGTTTATAATTATTATTCATTCTTTCTCATTCTAATTCTATTCTTTGTTCAGAGATTTTAATTTTTGTTTTACTAATGCTATTCATAACCTCAAACCAAGATTTAATATTATTTTTTTTTTAATTACCTTTCTATTATCTTTCTGACCCTTCATATTTTGATTATTATCTATTTCATTACTGATATAACCTGATTTTTCATTTAAAAGATATGAAGGTGAAACATTTTCACGACATCTGAAAATTTTATCCATAATATTCATCCATTCCAATCAACTTGTTCTGATCCACTTTGATTATTTTCTTACTTCATTTTGCATACTTTTTCAAGAGTCTATTTAATCGCCTTTTAATACTTTCTGCAGTTTTTGATTTAATAATATCTCTGGAAACTAAAGCATAAAACTCTGACTATTTTTCCTTTTGATATTTATTAAAATTATCTTTTAAATAAATTAATAGTTTATATGTTTTGTCATCACTCTATTTATCAATAATTTGAGGTTGATCATCAGAAACTTTTCATTACTTTTTTTTCTTGTCTTAATTTCTTCACTTTTTTAAATTCTAAATTAATTTCAAAGTCAGTTACCAAAACACTTAATTATAAAAGCTGAGATTTTATTCTTATCATTAAGTTCTCTTAATTAAAATCCAATTAATATCAGGAATCAAGTTCAGATTTAACATTATGTAATAAAAAACCAGTATTTTTCTTAGGCTGAAGAACATTAGTTTCATGCAATGAATCATAATCATTTGGTCTTTCTCTTATTGTAATATAAACAATAATGTTTGACCTTTCTATTACTCAAGTGTTTATATCAGCAGCTACCATCAGAATACTTAATTTTAATACTTAAGTATTTGATTTAGATGTTAATTAGAAATTTAAAAATTGCTGAAAAGAACTATCAACTATTTGAATATATAGTAACTTTAAAGCTAAAGTTCTGTATTTTCATAAGTAATGATTATTTTTATAATTTTGAGAACTTTGAAAACTATTAGTATAGTTGGTTAATATAATGTGTTATTTTATTTTGAACTAAAAATATGCCAATTATTTAGTTATTAAAGTTCAGAATTAGTTCACATTATACAAAAGTATCAGTCTAACCAAATTAAATAAAAACTGAATGAAAAAATTGACTAACTAGAAATGAATAGACCTATTATTAGAAGATAATATATATTATTGATTATTCTTATATTTATTTCTAAAAATTAAATTTTATCAAATTTGAATATAGAATCAGTATCAAGTGATGAAGAGAAATACAGTAGCAAATATAATTAATTAATAAATATAATAAACTATTAATTATACTCAATAATTGTACAAATATTAGAAAGATTAATTAATAATGAATATTTATAAATTGTTTAAATATTAGATTATGCTATATACCATATTATTAATTTTAAATTTTCTTAAAAATAAATACATTTTAATAGATTCAGATACTTTTACATTAAAGAATTAAATAGTAATAAACTTTATTTATCTATTATTTACTTATATATATTATTTAATAATTAACATCTTTTTTTAAAAAAATTTAATGATGGTAATACTTAGATTATAAAACATTTAATTCTTATTACATTTAATTTATACAATTAAATTTAATTAAACTTATTCAAAAAATATTTAAAATTTATATAGTATTTACAAAAATTTAGGCTTAAAATTTTTTTTGTAATATCAGAAATTGTATCATTATGAAGAAGATAATTTTATTATATAGGATACTAAAAGGTAAAATTCTAAAATAGAGGTTGAAACTGACCAAAAAATTTTTAATCAGTTAATATAGTTAATATATTCATTACCTGATTAATTAACTGATTAAAATTAATTTAGACTAGTACTATAAATTAGCCAAAGTTGAAAAATATTTTAAAATATTAATTCTGGCCAGAAATTGAATTTCAGCTGAAGTTAAATTCATCTATTTTAACCTAGTTAAAATTAATCAGTTCCAACCTCTATTATAAAAATGAATTAAAAAATTAATAAAATAATAATTATTTTTGACTAAATAACACTAAAGAAAATTTATCTTCTATTTTATTAAATTGATTTCACTTTTTATTATTAGCCAGTTTTTTCAAGAATCAAAAATATCTTTTATCAATCAAATTATATAATTTTAACTTTTGAGAAATTTATCATGATTTTGAGTTAGACGATTTTGTTAAGAAGATTTTTTAAAAATAAACTTCAAAAACTTATTAAATGATAATTGACTAATAATGTAATAATAAATAAAATTTGAAAGCAACCAAAAAAATTATATTACTTATATAATTAAAACAAAAATTTTTTTCAAATTCAAATTATCACCATTGGTTATTTTTATTAGTTACTAACTAGATTAGGATAGTATGTGATGACTTTATTATTATTAGTTATAGTTATTAAACTGCTTTAATTATAGTATATCCTTTATTAAGTTATCATCATAACAAGCTAAAGGGTCCATTTAAGTGCCACGTTCACATTTATCTAAAAGGGCAGAATCAGCTCTAACCTATAAAATTAAAAAGAATATTAATTAGACAATATAATATATCTGACTAGTTTTTGCAATAAGCCAAAGTGGAAAATCTACTTATCTAACCTACAAAATCATAAATTAAAAAAAATAAACAAAATTATTAATTAATAATTATAATTAATTAACTTATTATTAATTAAATCAATAAATAATAATAGAAATAGACAATACATAATAGTAAAAATAAAATTTTTCATTATACACCTGATTATACCATTATAGCAGATTTAAATCTTTTTTTTGTTTGAAAAAAAAATAATATTTAAACAACCTTTATTCTATAAAGTAGATTCCTCTTCTATTTACTTTTACCTTATCCTTTATCTTTTAGTATTAGTGTCAGTATTAGTGATATTAGATAAAAATAAGATATATAAAAATAGCTAATCATTAGAATTACACGAATCATCTAAAAACTAAAATTTTTTTGTCATAACTGATCCTCATTTAATACTATAATTATCTTTAGTATTGTGTCTCATATCACATATATACAAATGGTAAGATTTATATATCTTGACAATATGTATTACTATTATATTCTATTATTATTATACAAGTAATTTGATTAAAATAATTGTATTTTTTTTTAAAAAATAAACTTATTTTTTATTATAAATTATAAAAATATCTAATAATAATTATAAAGATAATAGTATAATAAAAAAAATATTTTTACCAAACAAGAAAAAGAATAAAAGATATGAAACTTCATATAACTAAAAATTAGTTAATTTGATAGTTTGATAATATTCTAATATTTTTTTTCATGAATTTATATTAGATCCTATTTTAGATGTTAAAAAAGCTTTCTCATTAGAAGGTAATAAATACATACTATTAATTATACTTATAAATTAAATGTTATTAAATTTAAAAATAGATATAGTTTCAATAGATAAAGATAAATACAACAATAACTAATACTAAAAGAATCTGTTAATTATATTTTATAATGTAGAATTGACCTTCGATAATGAATGTGAATATAATAATTACCATAATACTGTAATTTGTCATTTAATTTTTAAATAAACTAATATAATATTACTTTATTTTTGTATAGGTAATATCATTTATCTTTATCATTAGTTATTGTTAAAAATATAAAAAAATTTTTTTTAATTTTGTGTTATTTCATTTTATTGTTTATGCATTGTAATTCAAATGTATTAATTTCTAAAATGATCATTTTGAATATTTCAATTAAAATAAAATATGCATCCTAAATAATTATTTATTTAAATAACTGTTAAGTTATTTTACAATTTTTTCTTTTTATACAATTTAATTAAATTTGCTAGTTTAATATTATAGAGTCAAGAATTTATGAAATGAAATCATATGAAAATCCAATAAATAATTAAAGAAACATTCAATCAAATAAAAGATTAATAGATAAATATTTAACTAAAACTAAAATATAAAATATGGATAAATTACTTATTGAAGGAAAAGGATAAAGTAACTACTAAATATTATATAACTTTAAATGTATTGTCTATTAAATTACATTGTATTTTAATTTTAAAGAGTCGCAATACACATGCTAAATCATCTGTTATATTCAACTCATATTCACCTAAACTAGTTTAGTATCTTATTAATAATTGAATTAATTTTATAATTAAAGATATAAATTAAAAACTTACTATTGTTTATATTTTCAGATAAATCTGATTCATATAAATCACCTAAAGGTATTTTATAATTATCATATTCTTGAACCAATTCTTGTTGCATATAAAAATATTGTGATTCATCAAACTTAGCATCACTTGCATTACTTGAATCATTTAAATTATCATCATAATTTGTATCACTTGAATTGTTTGAATTATTATAATCCTTTACATCATTTATATAAACACTTGCATTACTTAAATTGAATTACCATTATCCTTAGCATTATTTAAATAAATACTTGTATTACTTAAATCATTAAAATCATGATTATTGTAATAATATTTTTGTGTTCTATCAATTTTATCTATAAAATTATCTTGATTATTATTTCTATTATTTCATTCATTAGTAAATTTTTGCATTACATTAAAAGAAAATAAAATCCCAGTAACCTATATACCTTTCTTTCAAAAGATTATTATTATCATCAAAGTATTCTAAATTCTCTAAGGAAATAATATTTTGTTTATTTATACTTATATTCCTATTTAATTCTTTTTTCTATGTCTATTAAAAGTATTTATTAAAACTAATTTACCATTTAATTCTGAATTTTCAGCTTTGCAAATAAAATATCTACAAAATTCAAACATTGTATGAAACTTAAATAAAAAATTTTTTGTTATGCTAATAATCTATTATAATGGATGCAGTTGTACAGATCTTATTAAAAATTTTTTATTTCTTAAAATAGAATAAAAAGTGTTATAAACAATAATTTGTTGAGTTAATTTTTGCAAAAATGAATATTATTTCAATATATCCTATAATGAAGATAATAATTGTAATAAAAATAATAATATAAAACACAGTTTGAGTAGTAATATTAATGAAAAACTTCGCTAAAAAATTGTCTAGAAAAGATATTAAAATTTAAAATAAAAAATAAATAATAATTATAAAAATTTTAATTTAATTAGTTTTATTTAAACTGCATAAATATCTATTATACTAATCATTTTTTATACATGTAAATCAATTATATTTTAAAATCACTGCTTTAATTTTTTATAAATATTTTATCATTATAGATGAATCAGAAAAAGAAATATTATGTAAGACAAGGCTATGTATAATAAATAATGTTATATAAATAAAAATTTTTATAAAATAAAATTTTATTTGTTGATCATCAAAAAATTCTATTTGGTTAGTGTAATTTACATGCATAATTACATGCATAAATTATTAATCATATAAATATTAGTATTCTTTATTTAGTAAATTATTTTTATCAATCTTTTATACTATGTTAATCAAATATCTTTTTTTAGGAAGTTTTTTTAAATTTTTTTATTTTTTTTTTTTAAAAAAAAAATTTTAAACTCTGCCTTAATTTTTTAAAACTCTGTTTAAATTTTCAAACTCCACCCTATTATATTTTAATAAACTCTATCTTAAATTTTTTGTATTCTGCTTTATTATATTTTTTTAAACTCTCTTTTAATTTTTCAAACTCTGTCTTGTTATATTTTTTTAAAAACTTCACTTTAAATTTTTGCATTCTACTCTGTTATATTTTTTTAAACTCTCTTTTAATTTTTAAATTCCGTTCCATTATATTTTTTAAAACTCTACCTTAAATTTTTGCACTCTGCTCAATTATATTTTTTTAAACTTTTTTTTAATTTTTAAACTCCACCCTATTCTTAATTTTTGAACTCCGCTCTATTATTTTCAATAAATCGCAATTATTTTAATATTCCAATCTCAGTTTTTTTAAACTCAATTTAAATTTTTTTGTAAAACATTACTAATATTTTTTTTTTATAGAAATTATCTTTTGGATTTCTAAAACTTTTAAAAGGAAACTATTGAAGGATTAGTATTATTAATATTTTTTTAATTAAAATTCTATTTTAGAATAATTTAAATAAAATTATTATACCTTTAACAAATATAAAAATGTGTTTATGTAGAGGACAAAAAGATATATATTATTTTATAATTTATTTATTTTTAATAACCAGTTTTAATAATAATCATCAAAAATTAATTAATTATATTATTATATGTATACATTTACAGATTTATAATGCTAATTAATATAACAATAATTGATCTAAAAGTAATAATTTTTTTTATAAAGCAAAAAAAATACTTCTTATTTTTTAACCTTTTTTTTATATAAACCAATTTGTTTATCTTCTATTTCCTTTTATTCAAATTTTCAAAATGCTTTCTTTCAAAGATTTATCAGAAAAAATTTGTAAAATTTTAAATGAATTTAGTCATGAACGTTGTATAATTTTGTTTGAAAAACCAGATAATTTTTTAATTCTTTAAGTAAATTGAATAAAAGCTTATTATCAAATCTCTAATTTATGAAAAATTAATGCTAGGATATGAAGAACAAATATGTTTAATTTTCTAAGTTATAGGAATATACTTTCAAATATATAAATCAGTTATCATTAAGATTACATTATAAATCGCATGATTTATAATATAATTTTATATCTATATAACTTTAGAGTCGTATATTTTTCTCACATATACTTTTAGCATATGCTAACTTAGGTTTATTAGAATTAATATATTTTATATTTTAACAAATTATTTATTTATTTATTTATTTATTATTTTATTTATTATTAATTTCAATAGAATCCTGTATCTTCATTTGATAGATATATAACTATTAATAAAGATAAAGATTTTTGTAAAGATTTATTTTTAAGTTGGCAAAATCAGATTAAAATTTTTCCTAAAAATTTTTGTAAAGTTATTAAAACTCTCTATAATTTTAATATAAATCATAAGCCAAATTTAGCTAAAAATATCTTCACAAATTTGTGACTTACATAGATATAGAGAATAAAAAGGATTTAGTGATTATTAATGAAAAGTAATCAGTTATTTTAAAATGTGGTAATAAAATTATTGATGGTATAATTCGTAATATCGCTAAAAAATGTAGCAAATCATTTTAAATATAAAATAAACTTACAGTAGATGCTCATCTTAAAATAAACTGTGAATAAAAGACTCATGCAGATTCAGGAAAATTTATTAGTCATGATCTTCATGTAAATTTTTTAAATCCATTTATTACTGATTTATATGTATATAAAGAAAAAAAACCTTAATCTTGAGATGCAAAAAATATATGATCAAGATGGAAATAGTTTTGGAAAATAGTTATATGAAAATGCTAAAGATCATAAACTATAGTTTATACTATTATATGAAACTTTTAAACAAAAAGTAATTAAAAATGATGATCAGATGGTAGGTGCAGTATTTTACGCTAAAATTATAAAGCTGTGAGTATTAAGATAAAGAATGATCTAAATTTTGTGATAAGCTTTATTTATAAAATTAGTGTAGTTAAAGAAGGATATTTTATTTATACTGAATATGATGTTGCTATTAAAATGACATCAAATTTGATATAGTGTTAATTAATACAAACTGTATATGATACAGATAAACTTAATTTAAGTGAAAGTGATGTTAGATATACTAGTGTAATTAATTTAATTAAAAAACTGCAAAAGTAGTAGAAAAAGAAGCGGTTATTTAAATAATTAAATTTTTTATATTACTTTTTATTATTATATATAAATAAAAAAATAAATAAAATAGAATTTATACTTTTATTTTTAATTCATGATCCATATATAAAGTAAAGAAAATCATTATTCCAATTTGAAGTGCTAATCATATATAAATATAAAAAATCAGTTATAATTCATTTTCTTTGAACTAAGCTAAGATCACCATTTTATATGACCTAAATGTCATATTTAATTTACTGATAATAGAACATCATGTGTATATATTTCTGCATTTTTGTGCTAAATTATAAATAAAACTATTAACTTTTAGCTGTAGCATTATCAGATTTTTGCATATAAATATAAAAGTAAATTCACAATTTCAATAGTTTAATTTCTTATTTTATGACAAACCATTTATAATAAACATTATTTATTGACAAAATATACAAAGTTTTTATTTATTTATCTTATTTATAGTTTTTAATCTCCATTGGCTAGCGTTAATACTTGTTGAGCTTTTACTTTACAATGAATTTATACATATTGAGAAATCTAATTATAAATTATAAAAACTTTTGAAATTTCTTCCTCCTCTAAAATCCCTTTCTTTACTAATTCTTTTAGTTTATTATGCATTTCTTGAGCTATATATTTTTTGCTTTTGTTTATATCTCCAGCTAAGAAATATGCCTCAAGGTATGAAATAACATTTTTGTTTATCTATTTATCTTTTTCTTTTTTACTAAATTTCTGTCTTTCTTTCGAGCCCATCTACTTGATAATATAAAATTTAATGTTTAAGCTGAAACTTGCCTTAACAAATCAGAATTAATACTTTTAATATTTGATACATCTACTATTTGGTAAAAAAAAAATAGTAAGCTTTGAGATAATATGATCATGATTTTATTAAAAAGTAATTTACTTGTATTTTGTTTTGACGTTTTATCATTCAATTTACATTATAAAATTTCTACTAATATAATTCTATTGTTACTAATTATATTTGTATTAATATTATAATTATTTAATCTTTTTTTTAATCCTTCAATAGTGAGACAGTTTGCATTGATTTCTAATTCAAAAAATTCATAAAAAATTCTGTAAAAGATCAATTTTAGATAATTCTATTATTATATACAGAGGGTGATCATGGGTACCCAAATGATAAGTATTTTTGTTTATTCATTTTATTTACATGTTTGCATATATTTCTAATTTAAGCATATGTTTAGAATATAAATGGATGTCGATCACAATAATAACAAATAATTTTCTTTCGAACAAAAATGGTTAAAACAAAAGAATTAAATGCTGAACAATATGGAGCAATTCTTTACAGCCACAATCGGGGTGATTCATATCAAAAAATTGCTGTCATCGTTCAATGTGGTAAAATAACTGTCCATGATGCGATAAAACATTTTAAAGAAACAGGTTCTGCAATACCAAAAAAACGTTGTGACCTGAAGCCACTTTTAATTCAAATGCATAATCTTCACTCGAAAAGATTGTTACACAAAATTTGAAGCATCGTCGCCTTACCACTCAAAAAATTCAAGAATTATAGACTAAAAAAAAAGAAAGTTTCAACTGTTACAATTCGTCGGACTCTTAAAAAAGTCAGCTTACATTCATGTGTTGCTCGCTTTAAACCATTAATTTCTGAAAATAATAAAGAAAAAAGATTGGTTTAGATATTGGAATGAGAAGATTGGACAATTGCAAAATGGAAGAAAGTTTTATGGTCTGATGAATCAACATTTAGCCAATTTTCACAAAGTCGTAGCTTATGTATGTGACGTACACTAGAAAAAGAATTTGACCCTTCTTGTTTAACTGCTACAGTAAAGCACAGTCTCAGTCGAATGTTTTGGGATACTTTTCGTAGTATAGGCTGGGACCTCTTGTTCCTCTTCGCAAATCTGTAATAGGACAAAGATATGCAAAAGTATTACAGAGGCATGCTATTCCTTCAATTTACAAATTAGTTCCTCGCAAACAAGGAATTTTTCAAGAAGATAATGCTTCACCTCATCGAGCAAAGATTGCTGCTGATGTTCGTAACGCCTCTAAGATTTCTGTACTAC